ATATATATGTATGTATTTTTGTGTGTATACACGTGTGCTGGAGATTTAACCCAAGGCCCTGTGTATGCTGGGCATGTAGTAGACTCTTGTGTAATTTTGAAGAGGATAGTGGATATTATTGCTAATTCCTAGTCTAATGTATAATAATGCTTCTTCTGTTTTAGCTCTCCATATAATGCTTATTTTAATTATGCTTTATTTGAGACACTCTGTGATTGGTATCTTTCCTTCCACTCTTGATTTGGTAAGTTTTGCTTTAAATTTTTTTTTTTTTTTTCAGCACCACGGGTTGAACTCAGGACCTTGTGATTACCAGGGAGGCACGGTGCCACTGAGCTAAAATGCCATCTCTGTCTATAAATCTTGAATGGGACACGAGTCCACTCAAAGCTTCTATTTCTATTAAGATTATCCTTCTTGCCGGGGATTTAGCTCAGCAGTTCTGCTGCCTGCCTTGAAAGCACAAGGACCCAAGTTTAATCCCCGGTACCAAAAAAAAAAAAAAAAAAAAGATTATACTTCTTGCACCTAGAAGAGGGCAGTTTTCAATTAGACTCCCTGCCTTGGAGAGCAGCCTGGGCTTTGTTTACCATCCCCAGACAGGGAACTCACTAGACAGGAAAACCAGAGCTCAGGTTAGCCTGGTCCAGCAAAGTCCTTCCAGGAGGAAGCCGCTCAGTCTCCTCTTCCTGCCAGCTCTCCTCTGCACTTTGCCCTTGGCCTGAGCAGCTCCTAGGCTCCTGCCAGGTTCTGCATGTGTTTAAAATTTTTCCATTTTATTCAGCAGTGTTGCTTTCGCTGGGAAGGTTGGTCCACATCCCAAGTCTACCATCAAGCAGAAAACAGAAGTCATAGACCCTGTTCATTACTGTGTTTTGTAAGCTCCTACTGTGAACGGCCTCTGGCACTCATGCAATTTTCTAATTAGTTATTATTAAATTGTGTCATAATTTATTTTTGGACATTCCTTTTGTCATTATTTTGTTAATCTCCCTTATGAATTCTAAATACCTGTTCAGATGCTTGAGTGTGAATTCTCTTCCTCCCTCCCTTCCTCCCTCCTTCTCTCTCTGGCTTCGCACATGGTTAGGATTAGAACTTCTAGCCTCAGTTTTTGCCGGTGGTAACATTAACCCTTGGCCGGAGAGAGAACACCTCTAGTGTCTCATCCTGTTTGCAACTACTGTTGAGCTGAAGTTTTGGCTGATTTTGTTGAATTAATCAACTACCCTTCCTACCTCCATTACTCAAAGATTTCCAATCAGGTCAGAAGTGGATTCAAAGTTCATTGCTGTTTTCTTATATCAGTGAGATTGATTTCTTGGTGTGTATTAAGTTAGTATTTCCTGTTGTTTGTGTAACCAGAACAAACCCAATCTGACCAAGTTGTTTATCTTTTAGTGGAGGACTGGATTCCACCATATTGTATTCAGTACTTTAGTGTCTTTGCCCAAATATGTGCACACACGTACCACTGGAATGGTTTTAGACTATGGAACTGTTTCTAAATAGTTTTATAGAATTTATCCTTACAACTGTTTGGGCCTACTCTTGGGGATTGAATCCAAGGACTCACACACATGACAAATGCTTTGCTACTAAGCTATATCCCCAGCCCCTAGTTTTTAAAAGGTAATTTTGTCTTTTTTCCCCTAGTTCTTCAAACATCACTGGCCTTTTCTTTTTGGAGAACTCCATCTTGACCAAGTAGCTTTGCCATCAGTAATTTGGTTTATGGTGCTTTTTAGAGAATGTTTTCATAGCCACCAACTCATTTAATGCTTATATAGCCTCAGTGGGATTTTAAAAAGGTGGAATATGTCAGAGGCTTGGAGAAATTAGGGAACAAGGTAAAAAACACTCAGCTTGGACCAAGAAATCAGATATGGTCCAATCTCCCTTTTCTAAGACCTCATCTGCAAGGACTAAGAAAACTACTCTTGTATGTCTTCTGAGGCTGTGAGGTCACCCAGAGAAGGGGAGCCCCAAGAGAGACAACATTCCAGTTTCAGCTTAAACCAGACAGATCTTCAATCAAGAAAACATACTCTGACCCGGGGTCTTCAGAATTATTACTTGGTGGTCTGCTGGCGGCTCAGAAGACTCCCTAGTCCTCCTGTGAACACCAGGAATCGGGGGAACATTCCCCAAAGTACCAGCTTACAGGCCCCTTGCCCTTTCTATTCTCAAAAGGACCTCACAATCCAAATTCATCCTTCAGCAGTATTTTCTTTTTAAGAAGGGTACTCTCCATTTTGAGACAATAACAATCACTCTATCCTCCAGTTTTCAAAGGATACAACAGAGCAATGATTAGGATTTGAGATTTTTTTGTGATCACAAGACCACTCCCAATCTGTGTGACTTACTTTTCAGGACGGTGTAGTAATAATCTGCAGCAGACACACGCTTGTGGTCACAATATACCTTGGTCTGATATTAGCTCTAGGCTCCTGCTATTTGGAAAGAATTCTTCTAAACATGAAATGTACTGGAAATGTTACATGTATCTTTTCTGTCCTCTGAAAGGATGTTAGACAAACACCAGATTTTCCCTTTCTGACTAGAGAGAAAGAAACAGTTAAGGAGAAGCTGCCCTACTTGGTGAAAGCCAAGAATGACCCACCTCAGGTCTGACACACGTCCTCAGAGGAATACTGTACCTCCCCTCCTCAGCTCTGGGACAGCAGAGGCTGCTTCCAAGTAGAGGTAACCATCCACAGAAGTGGAAGCACCTTGTCCTCTTGGTTTCTGTTCTTGTCAAGTTCATCATTTCCTGTTGACATTTAGCTGACAAAAAGGAAAGCCATTTGGGAGGAAAAAAAGGGAAAATGGCTACAGAGATTCAGAATCCACAAGTAAGATGAGAAATCAGGGGCTGGGATCCCCAGCCAGCTGCTCACCAGCCTTCAAGAGAGGCCACTGTCTGGCCTTCTTTCCCGGCTGGGACTCCTGGGATAGGAGTCACCTCTGAGTATCACAATGACCCCTCAGGAACCAGTTGGGCCTCTGAAGCTCCCATCATAGAAGCTGACTTAAGAAGTGGCCTCCCCGCAGGCGTGTGTGTGTGTGTGAACATATACTGCCCGCCCACGTTCTCCCACCCTTGCCACCTCTTCCTGCATGCTCAGCCAAGGGTGTCCTGAAAGTGGGAAGCCAGCACCCCTCACTCATCCTCACCCCTGGAACACATCAGACTCCAGACTCCCTAAGAAACAGGTGCCTGCCCCTGGCTGGGCTGTCCCGAGAATCCTGAGACTTCCAGGGCTAGGCCCCACCACACACTCCACAAACAGACCTGCTACACCTTCTGTCTCACGTTGGTTGTCCTGGCCTCTTCTGAAAGTAACCTAAGGTCTCTGACAGAAGAGAACAGCTCTTTTGCATACCTTGAGAAACATGGCAACATCGGCAGGCCCTGGGGATTTCCTCTTAAATCAAGACAAAATGCTGTTTTCTTATTCACTTCTTTGACCAAGAGATGAAGAAAAACTGCGCAAGCCCACACCTTCTGATCCATGCATCCTTTATTCCATTTCCAACCACTGTGCCGCAGCCAAGCAACAGGACACAAACCGGCAATCAACCGCAATCCAGGTGTACAATGATCAGAGGCTCACAGAACATTTAAGGCTTTGAAATTTGAAAAAAAGAAATTAAAACCAGAGGACCCCCAGACCCAAACCCCCGGCCAATACAAGTCATGTAGCAGTTGTAAGCATCTTACATTTTTGATGCTTACTTGGTGCCACTCCAGTGTCAAAACTCGAAAAACTCCTAAACTAAAAAGAGTAGTTTAGTGAAATTTTAATTACATAAATTCTTCAAAGCATAAACTTGGAATTTTTGTCTTGGAAATGTTATAAAAATTTTTAATAGCAAAACATAGGAATAAAAACATATTAACAAAATGTATTCAATCATTTATATTACAAACAAGGAATTTGCAGTTCATCGTTGTAGCCCCACAAAAGAAAACTACCCAATAAGAATCTATGCACAATGTAATTGCAAATATGTACAGTACTTTAAAAAAGCCTACAAGGAGGGCTTTATAGGAGAGAGTTGGCCAGGCTCTTTGTTAGACCAACTAGACAATCAAAATATTAAAACTCTGTTAGCTAGTAATAAATTTACACTTTAAAAAACCCCCAGGTTCTCTTTAAGAATATTCCAGTTATATTTGTAGGGTTACAGTGAATGAAGCTGTTTGCAATCATTTCAGTAAATTACCCTTCAGCTCATTTGTCTGGGGAAAGACTGATATGTTAACAAAAATTAATAAAGGGATTTTCACCACTAGAGTTTTCCAGTTACACTATCACAGCTTCACAAATGGTTGACCCCATGAACAAGTGGCGGAGAGCGAGTTGCATGTCAAATACTGGGAACAGTGATGGGAGAGGGTTGAGCCCAGTGTTGATGAATCGGAGGTGGTGGGTGAGGGTGACACACAGAGTACACTTTATACAGCACTAGGAGACGGTCCCCACGGTCGGTCGGCTCGCGATACCGATCCAGCCAGGCAAGGAAGCTGGGAGTGTGTGTGTGGTGGTGGGAGTTAGTAGAACAACTTTTAGATACAAAAGACTGAGATTTCATGAGCTCTTCGAGGAGAACACCCTAAAGGCCAGGCACCTCTTCGTAGGTATCGGGCTATCCGTTAAAGCATGTGTAAAACAGAGGACCCGTCTGTTCACAGTAGATGAGGTAAGGCTGAGCTGTGTTCTTCACGAGTTAGGAAGCTCATGCGATATGAACTGTTTCAGTCTTTCCAGGTACTGTGCATAAAGCTCTATGTCATTGTGCCCAGCCCCTTCCACCCAGAGGGGCTCCACCGCTCGGGGACACCGCTCATACATCGCCAGCCCATGGGAGAAGTCGATGACCTCATCCTCTGTGCCATGAATGACCAGCACAGGAGAGGTGACCTTGGAGATCTTGTCGATACTGCAAGACAGAAGGCAAGGGGAGAGGGCTCTTTTAGTTATGCTCAGGTAGGCAAGGCCACTTGGTGTAGGACAGACCATGTATACAGGCAAGGAAGTGATAACGGTGGGATTTTGACTAAACAGACTGTTTTTAGAGTAGTTTTAGGTTAACAACAAAACTGAAAGGGGATTTCCCATGCACTCACTGTCCATACACACACACACACACACACACACACACACACACACACACACACACACACACACACTCACCCCTCCCATCATCAAAGTCCCACACCAGTCACCCATCTATTATAGCTGAAGACACAGTGACACACTGTGGTGGTCTGCCCCTCCTCCATTTTTCCAGTGTCTCATCTTTTTCTTATATGAACTTTTCACTTTGGAAAAGTTTTAATTTCCAAAACAGATACAAAAATAATTCAGGTTTCTTCACACTCCTAACCCATTTCCTATAAGGTTAACATAGTACTTTATCATGTACATTTGTTAAAACTAAGAAACTGAGTTTGGTACATTACTATTAACTAAAAACTCCCAGACTTTATTTGGATTTCACTAGTTTGTCCACTAATGTCCCCCCCTTTATTTTCTCGTTCCAGGAACCAATCAAAAATACCACATTGCATTTAGCTGTTGTGTTTTTGTCAAAATCATTTTATTAAAAACAGAACTCCTAAAAGCAACCAGACTAAAAAACCAGTAACTATTTTTATATATTCATTTTTGGGGAGATGATTTTTAAAAAATAAACAGGCCAGCACTTAACATATCTGAATAAATAACTCTTTGGAAATTTGGACACTTAATCCCCTGCTACTCAAATTTTCAGAACTATTTTTTTAAAGAAAACTGTGAACAAGAAGCAAAACCCATTTCATAAAAAGGCCTCATTTTCTGATAGAAATGGCATGACTTAGACTGAAAGCTTAATGGCATGCTTAGATTTGACTCCAAATGTCTTCTGACTGTTTGTACAAATGAAATCTGTTCTCAAAGGTTAAATATTTATGCTTCGGACTCCCAAAGCATGTGCAGGGGAGAATGGGATGGTGGTCGGGAAGTGCCTCTCGGACTGGGGTGTTAGGGTAGCCTCTGGTGGGGTATCAGTCACTTAATCTAAAACACATCAGGGGAAACAAGTCTCTCTCCAACTTGTCCCCACCACAGGCCATCTCCTCTTTGATTTCTCTTTCCTTTTATAATCCTATTCAATGTTACACGAGAATCAGAGTGAGTACTTTAGAGGGAGCCTTCTTGTTAACTGTAAAGATTTGCCACAGCACCAGCGAGGCATGACCATCCCCATTTTATTGGGGAAGAAACTGAAGCTCAGAGAAATTATTAAGTAACAGGCACGAGGCCATGGTGATACCGAAGAGCTCTGGTATCATTTCCGAAGATTACAAACAACTGCCATACAGCCATCTAACAACTCCTGAGGCTGCCAACCCCCTCAGTGCCTCCCAGAAAGACAGCAAACCCCCCAGGCCATGTAACTGGCAAAGGGCAGCGCCTCTGTAGCAGTGTTCAGTTCTGCAGATTAGGAACCTTACTTGGAAATCAACTTCCTCCTATAGTCAGTTTTAAAGTGACTCCCTTTGAAAGACGGCAACTGCCTCCATTAAAAAGGTATTTGCTCAGTGGTGTGGACAGGCCCCAGACTCTTCAGGGGGATCTAATGTCTGGAGAGTGTATTTGAAGTTCAATGTCATGGTCTGACCCTAAATGTGAGGGAGGTGAAAGAAAATAAACTACAAGTGAAATAATGATCAGGACTCCTTTTTATTTTTAATACTAAAAGAAAATGTGAAAGTATCTTCCTTTGAGAATAACAGAGAGATGATTCTGCCATTTGGCAGCAAGGGACACGTTAAGAAAATGTTTACCAAATTCAATTAATGATGAAAGTCGATGCAACTGTTAATAGTTTGAAATCTATCCTATTAACAATTTATGGTACTGATGATGAGGAATGGCTTTTGCTGTCTCCAATCACCCATTTTAAGCAACTTATTAACTTCTCTAAGGCTCAGTTTCCCAATCTGTAAAATGAATACAATAGCTAGATCAACTCCTGAGGTTATTATGAACATTAAAAGGGACAGTAAGTATGAAACACATAGTGAGAAGCCTGCAAAAATCAGACAAACTCAGCCTAAGTTACTGATTTGTAATCAATTAATACATTTTAAGGTATTGGCTAATTTAAGAGCTAGAAAGAAACCTAGTTATTTTGTTACCAGAGTAACACTCGGACTTGCTTCCCACAACAGTGCGAAATATCTGTCTTTCAACAAACTGGCCTCTGATTACCAATTCAGGACAAGTAAGGCCGTAGTTGAGCCTCAAGCCGGCTCTACTTGGTATTCCCAGCCACGCTGCTGGCATCTGCAGAGCTGCTTTCCCAGGAAGCTGAGCTTCATGAATCCCGGGACGACCAGCACAGAGCCGAAGCCCCGAGGTGTGAACAGAGATTTCTCCCTGTGTACCCAGCTGGCCTTTGGAGTGGGCATCTGTGCAGCCCAGTGATGGTGTCTTCCCTGGCAACAGTAGAACGACAGCAAGGAAAACCCTAAATCTGTGTTACTTCAGCTGGGGCTGTCTCAGTAAAGCCTGAACAACTCAGGCTGCCTCAGCCACATGTGTGGGAAGTTTAGGGGAGAAATAATTTTTAATTAAAATATCCCCTCACTTTAGCTTAAAAAAATTAAAAAGCAAGTAGAAATTTCCAAACAGGTATTCAAGAAACCAGTGTGCTCTTACTTTTGTGTTCACCACACGCTCTTCTTTTTTCTATTAGTGGAACTAGAAAACAGCAGTTGCTCTGCCTCCTTTCATGGGCCAGCTAGGGAGGCTGGGCTGACTGCTGCTCCTCTCCCTCCCCTGGTGGCATGGTGCTTTCTGCCACCAGTGGGACAGCAGGGGGAAATGGCTGGTGGGGGTGCTCACTTTACTGTACCATCCCCAAAGCCAGTTAGCAGAGATCATACCCTGGGTAGTTCCCTCACAGCCTTATTCTGTTTACAAAGATTAACTGAGCATGCCACCTTTACTTCCCTGTCCTATCTGATCATAAGACAGGAGCCTGAAATCTCTGCTTGCTTGTAATTTTTATTTCAGAGTCTAAACCACCACTAACTACTTCATCTACATTTTGTAGGGAGCTCTTTACAATTCAGTAATACAGGTCTTTATGTGTGGATGGATTGATGGATAGATGGATGCATGAATACAGACAGTACTGAATACTTCTGGGTATGTGGGTACTTTGTTATGCTACATAGTACATAAAATTAGTTCATCCCAGTATTAGCACAGTCAAGGTCTTCATTCATCACCCAAAGACTTTCACAAATGAGGCTCAAGCCTCTTTTCAGCACACAAACCACATTCACCTCACATCCGCTCTGGCGCCCAGCACAGAGCCTGACTCAGGGCTGTGTTCCATTGGGAGTGGTAGCAGCGTCAGAGGGGAAGCTGGATCTCTGGCCAACTCCACATGTGAGCTTACCTGGGAAAAGCATCAAAGCAGTAGGTTTTCCTGGTATCCGGAAAAGCCACACGTAAACCAGACATCAGAGGGGAGTGGAGAATTACAGCTGCACACTCATACCGAGAGGCCAAGTCCACGGTGGGGACGGTCCCAATGCTCTGACCATAGAGGATTATGTTCTCGGGACTGACGCCGTACCTGGGAAGCAGAGGTTGCATGCATGAGCCAAGGTATGCAGATAAAAGGGGATGGGAGAGAAATCCACAATAATCTTAAACCCATAATACTCCCATTTCTGCCAGCCTAAAACTGTATCACCTAACTTGCACACTGTAGCTTAAAATGAATGTGCACTTGATAGAAACAAATGTTAGAGGCTTATTTCAGTACTAAGTGACTAAGATTCTGTCTCCCACAACAATTTGCAAAAATAATGAACGTGACATTTTTTTCCTGGCTAATTAACTAAATAAATGCATTACAAATTCCATTTCAATTTTTGAATCATCTCATTTCCTATTACTCCTTCTTTGATGTTCTTTGATAATCATAAATGCATTTCTGAATAAAAATGAAAACAGGTTTGACAAACTGACATTATTATTATGAACTCTTCAAGTGCAGTTTTAATGATATGGAAGATATGAGACTTTATCAGAAAAAGGCTTAAGAAGGGACACTTAATTAGAAGACAACCATATTTTCTGTAGCCTCTTCCCAGGATTAAATGCTCCAAGTTTTGAAATCTGTCTGGCCTCGAAATCTTTTTCTTGCCATATTTAGCTGTGTAAATGCCTGTGTCCACAGACTCCAGTTCCCAGCCTCCCATGCAGTGCGTGTGTCCAGAGAACTGGGCTCCAGCCAACCAGGCACAAGCAGAAGCAACAGCAGCGCCTGCCAGATCGTGGTTTTGCAGGCAGGGAGTGCGCTCATCTCTCCCACTTCAGGTGGGGGAAGCGGACATAACTGTGGAGACACAGAAGAGTGTGGCACCCTATGTGTGGCAGAACAAAAGAGAACAAAAGATGTGCTCCTACTGGCCTACAAAGGACATCCAGATTACAGAGTGCCTAGAAATGAGCAAAACTAGGATAAAGATGGCACAGAATGCCTAGTACACGCACAAAAGACGGGGTGCTCAGCATGCAGATGCAAATTAAAGCCAGGAGTAAATATTTTATCCCTAAGAGCTGATAAAAATGAAGAAGACGTCAGAGGACTTAAACCACTGGAACTATTACCTCCTCACAGGAGTGTGAACCAGTCCTGGCTTGCGGGAAAATGATTTGACATCTATTAAAGGTGAGCTCGATGACCCAACTTTTCAGAACAAACATCTACTGCAGTTTTCAAGGTAACATAAGTGTTTCTTGATAACAGACTTTCGTGGAAAGAGATATAGACCCACAGCCGAGGGGGCAGCAGATTCCAGTTGCCTTTCTCCCTACGGGGGAAAATAGGGGCCTCAGGAAGGAATTCGGGAAGGGAATGGCCATCGCTGGCTGACAAGCACCAGCACCAGCTTTATGGGGCCAGCATCTGGGCTGGGTTGGGGTTGTGAAGGGCAGACAGGTCACAAGAACAGAAGAGCAGGGCTTCCATGCTGGAGAAGCACTCTGTGCAGGGGGTGCTGCCCTGGGCAAGGGAGTGGGCGTAGGGACCTACAGGGCCACTGAGCCCAGGACAGGGCAGGGCAGGGAAGATCAGCAGGGCCACTGGGCACAAGACAGGGCAAGATAGGCTTGCAAGGGTGCAGCTGAAGGCGCTCCAACAGGAAGCTCAAGAGTCAGAGCCTGTCCAGGGAAGATCTGCCTTTCAGTGGTGAGCAGGAGAGACCAGAGGAGCACGCGAAAGAAGCAGAGCAGGAAGATCAGCGCCGTGACTACTAAGGACCCTATAAGGATGAGGACACAAAAGAATGCAACAAATTAAAAACAGGATATGTCCATGCCCTCCATTTCTAAAATGCAATGTCTGTGTGGCCAGAGAGCTAGAACCTGATGCTATCTAGAACAACTGAGCCTGTGCAAAGCACTCCATGATACAGGTGTCCTCGCAAGGGCTGTGGTCCTGCAGGCGGGGAGGTGTGTTTACAGAACACTGACGGTGACGGTCAAGGCAGGAAGTAAGAGCTGCGGTGTCCTGTGCCCCCCACACATGGAGACCATGCAGTTGAAGACACAAGGTGCCCTTCATGAGCTGGGGCAAGGGCAGCAGAAAGAGCACTGTACCCAAGTCCTACAGCCACTGCACAGGACAGGTTGCTGGCCGAAGTGAGTTATTCCCAGGTCTCCCCTCCTGAAGCGGATCCACGCCCCTTCTTTACGACTGGGACGATCACCTCAGCAGGGCTGCAACCTTAAGTTTAGAGATTTTAGGAGGAGAAGCATAGTTATTTGGGGTCTCTTCCTTCGACAATTTTTAAAATCAGATTTACAAAGTAGCCCATGTCCCCCAAAAGAAAGGCTGCTGGGTAGTGACAGCAGGGAGAGGTCATCAGGCACTTGGAGGGAGGAAATCCTCAATTTCCACATTTGGGGTGGGGGCTCTTTCCATTTTTGGTATCAATTACAGAAAATAAACCAAAGTTCTCTGAAGAGGAGAAATGACAGTTGAAAGTAGTTAACCAACAAGGAACAGAAGATTACGAGATAATTCTAAAAGTCAAGAATAAAGTCACCGACGCCCGGGTGCAGGTAGCACCTGCACAGCCCTGACCATCTGGGAGAGGATCTGAAAAAGGAGAGTTACATGGAGTCACATGTTGCCTGGATGAGCAAAGTTCATCCCACTTCTTATTATAGCAAAACATTATTTCAAAATCCTGAGTCTGTCATTTACAGGACACATCACAGGGCTTTCTGGGCTCAGGACTGAGGTCAATGAACAAAGACATGGGAAAGGGCAGGGCAAGACCATGGTTGGCTGACAAAGCAAGCAACTTTGCCTCTTTGGCAAAGGCCTGGGGCGAAGCAGGAGTGCTCTCACCAGGGACCCTCGGGTTCCAGCCGGTTCGTGGGCATTAGGATGCACTCAGTACAGATCTGTACATATTCTACTTTCTCACAGCCGTGTGACAGCAGACTTCCCTGGCCCAAAGCTTTCACCAGGAAACTCACCAGCAGAACACACGAGGCCCTGGCCAAACAGGAAAAACTGGGCAGGGACAAGGCTGTGAGTGAGGACTAGGACAGAGGTCAGGATGCATGCAGCACCTGCAGAACGGCTCTGTGCACCAGCAGTTCAAAATGGCAGAAGAAATGCCTAAGAAGGAAACAAGTCAGGGAAAGCCCTCAGGCAGCAGCTCACGGGGTCACCGATGACACAGACAGATGGGTAAGGACAGGTGTACTCTGACGAACACCCAACAGCAGCCTCAAGCACCAGGCACGAGGAGGTACATTAAGTGTACTGTGTGTGGGGAACAGGACAGTCCACGGGCAGCTGCAGGTTGTGTGGTCTGGGAAGGCTCCCTACCTCTGAAGGAACGGGAAGAGTGCGCATATTCTGCCCTTTCAGCACCCGTTACTGACCCCATGTCATTCTGAAAATGTCCCCTGGCCCCCCAGGGTCACACTGACCAGGCTTCTCTAGCTGGGTGCTTTACTTCTGCTCCCTTCTCCCACACTTTGGCTGTGTACTCCTGAAGCCCCAGTGTTCACTCTCACTGAAGTCTCTTCCACATTATTTCCACATGGAATTCTTCAGTGCCAGAATCTACAGTCGCTCAGTGGCAGAACATCTTGCAGATGTGCAATAAATGTGTGCTACATGAAATACGTGGGTGGCTTGGGTTTCTAAAGTTTGTTCAATCTTGACACGACTCATCTTAGCTCTAGCACCCAAGCTTTTTTCTCCATACTTGCGTTGGCCAGAATGTGATTGTAGCCAGAAGCTATTTCTAAACAAGGTCAGGAAAGCCAGTTTCTCCTTTGGGGGAAGTTGTAACACCTAAGTTCGGGATTCTGGATGCAGTATGATTCTTCTAGCCAAAGGCTATTTCAAAACAAGTAGGAACTACATTTCACATAGGTATCATTCCAACAGATACAAAACCTATTCCAAGTCTAACATCTTGCTGGGGTTCTGAATAGCAGCAGACTCTCCTTTTCAAAGTAGCAATAGTGCTGTGTACATAGTAACAGTGATCAGTAAATGTGTAAATGTGAATGCTGCTAGGCATGGTGTAAGATTTTCTTAAAACACAGCTCAAGGAATTCAAGTCTCCTGGTTTCTCTAAGAGGAAGCCCTCGGCCCTTGGGAATGAGCGATGACCCCTGACGAGTAGCACCAAGTGACAGCACAGTACCCTGTCTTCAGCAATCACAGGCTCCCTGGGGTGCTGGAACTTCCAAGATTAAGGTTCTGGCTCTCACTCAGCACCCTGATGACACGCCTGTGGGAGCCCTGGGGCCAAGGGCATCCTGATCCTCTGGGCAGCAGGAGGGAGGCTGGGAGCGCCAAAGAGGCAGTGTCCCACAGGAGCGATCAGTGATAAGGTCAAAACTGCTGTTTCTGTTTCAATGTAAGGCTTTCTTCTTTCTCTGACTTTATCCCAACCCAACCTCCCTGAGACACACTGCATCCTGTTTAAGTTAGTGGGCCCTGACTTCGTCCTCTGCCGAGAACTCTCTCATTTATCTTCAGAAGAAGTTCGTTTGGCACAGTTCCACTGGCTTTGAAGTCAACATTTTAAATATTTCAGAGCTAGAATTCCTAGAGGAAATATCTTCAGACACAAGACGAAGATAAATACAGAAGATAACGCGAATGTTAATTGAAGGATGAGGTCTGCGGATATGAAGAACCTTCTTCAACTTGGAGCAAAGCTGAGAGCAGCAGGACTGGCGGTGCCAGGAAGCAGGTGCACAAACAGGGCCTGGCACAAAGAGAGGTGGCACCGGGACCCTTCTGCCTTCGGACACATAAATGACAAACCAGATTTGTACTCTCTGGGGCTAAAGCTTAACAAATACGTGCCTTACATTTAATAATATGGAAGAGAAAAAAACACATCAGCCACCTAAAACACACTTTTTTCCTTTCTTGAGATACACCTTTGTAGGTCTGGAAAGTTCTTCAGTTACACTAATCATAAACCGGCTCCTCCTAGTGTTAGTTCCAAAGGTGAAACAACACCGAAGGGGACATTTTAAAGTACTGGGGCTGTTGGAGAAAAGTTAAAGAACTAAAGGTTA